GAGAGAGAGAAAACAACAGAAAACAACAACCAACAAACAAACATAGAAAAAGCAAGCAACAAAAAACGAGAGAGAGAGAGAGAGAGAGAGAGAGAGAGAGAGAGAGAGAGAGAGAGGGAGAGAGAGAGGAAGAAAAAACAGAGAGAGAGATAGAGAAATAGAGAGAGAGAGGGAAATATACATAGAGAAAGAGAGAGAGAGAGAGAGAGAGAGAGAGAGAGAGAGAGAGAGAGAGAGTGAGAAAGATAAAAAAAACAAAAAAAAACAATCGAGTAGTGGCTGCCTTGACGGCGGCAAGGCACTGAGGTGCTCGGAAGAAATAAAGGGCCGGAAAAAATCTAATTAGACAGAAGTGAGAGAGACTGTAGGTAACGTGCGAAGCTTACAAGCACATGATGGACTGCGTTCAGAGAGATGCTCGTGCATGCTGCTGGCTGCAGTAAACTTGTCTGAACGATGTGGTAAGTAATCGGCCCATCCGAGTAGCGTGGCTGGCGCAGAGTACTGGCTGGTCACGGTGAATTCTGTCCTGGAATGGCCCAGCGCGTTGGCAAGTGCGGTCTCTTCCACCTACTCCACCAAGCCACCTCTGCCATGCCCGCAACCCATTCTACTCCAGAGACAGGGCAGCAAACTGACAAAACAAATCGTGAAAGGTCTGCAATTTGACCTGCGGGGCCACATCCTGTGACAGGGGGCTTGAAAAAGGCGGCGTGAAGTGGGGGGCCAGAGTAGGCATGTGATGCGCATGCTGAAATGCAGCAGCAAGTGGCCCATCCGCCCCTTCACGCAACCCGCCTTCGCCCCCGCGAAATTCGCCTAACCCGCCCGCCCCGCGTCAATATCGCGCCGCTGGGCTGGCGTTGCCTGGCCGATGGCAGCGGCTCGTGCGCAACTGGGGCTGCGATGGGGGGGCCGGAGATCGAGGTCGGGATGAGGTGCGCCGCGCTGGCGCGGCTGACTGCAACTTGGCAGTATATATATATATATATAGCGAGAGAGAGAGAGAGAGAGAGAGAGAGAGAGAGAGAGAGAGAGAGAGAGAGAGAGAGAGAGAGAGAGAGAGAGAGAGAGAGAGAGAGAGAGAGAGAGAGAGAGAGAGAGAGAGAGAGAGAGAGAGAGAGAGAGAAAAAAAAAAAAAAAAAAAAAAAAAACGAAAGAAAGAAAGAAAGAGAGAAAGAGAGAAATATAACAAACAAACAACTGTACGTAACATGCGCGGTTTGCAGAAGCGACGCGGGAGAGCTACTCGCGCGTGCTGCTGGCTGGAAATTGCCGCTGGTGATCGAGGAAGGTGGGGGCCTGAAATACATGGGCGTCAAACGTGAAGGCTGCTAGAGATAGAAGCGCAGCTGTTGCGGCTCTTCGGCGGGCAGCGGCGACGTAGGAGAAAAAGGGGGGCAAGTCGGGGGGCGCGCCCGCCTCCCCCCCCTTCCTCCTCCTCTGCGAGCCGGGCGGCCCTGGTGCTCTCAATGGCGGCCTGGGAAGCTGCGGGGCCCTTGCAGTGGAAGGGCCGCAATGGTCTGACCGCCCTAGTCGATGAAGCCCCGCCGGCTCCCCTGGCGGACCAGCTTGAAAGGCGCCCAGCGTGCTCGCGATTTAACCCCTGCTGCCAAAGTAGGCCACCCCCCAGGTCACAGGGCTGCCCTAGATCTGGCCAGGCCTAGGTTGGGGCCAAAGGCCAGAGGGCTGAGCAAGAAGGCGCAGTGTTTGATAAGGGGCTGTGGATGCAATGGGGCGCGGGCCGCTGAGACGCGACGTTTGGCGAGGCGCGCGACGGGCGGGGGGTGTTTGCGTGGGCAGGTCGACACGCTCCACTACAGGCTCTGTAGTTGTGATAAGCCTGAACTTCGCCAGTCTCGCGCAGAGTGCCTCGTGGAGCTCTTCGGCGTCGATGAGCTAGAGGAATTCCGACGCGGGGTGGAGCTGGTTGGCCCGCCCGGCCCGGGCGGGCAACGTGGGAACTTTGGGTCGGTTGGACGAACGTTGTGAAAGATTTTGCCATTTGTTGTTAAGAGCGAATATTCTTCTCACGCGTAGTGGGTTATGCCGCGTGCGTCTGTCAAATTCTCAGGTCCGTAGCTGCAATATTATGGTCGAAAGACGTGGGGGAACCGACTTCGCATTAAACCCCCCAAATACATTTTGCGAGGTTGTAGTTTGAGTTTCGAGGAAGCCTTCTCCTTATATTCCGAGCACTTGTTCGCGTGTTACGAGCTCTACGAGGGCCCCGGCGGTGACATGATTGAAGGTTCACCGCCGGCTCCCAGTCAGCTGCCCCGAGAGAATATCTTGGAGCGTCTCTAGCGGGGCCTGATGTTGAAACTCTTACGAGAGGGACTTGTGTGTACCCCGATGCTGAATTGACAAAACCGTCCAGTTCAGCAGGTGGGGATGTTTGGGACGTCAGGCGAACCGCTCGACAAAGATCCCGAGCAGCTAGCCGAGCTTTCAAGCGATAGTGCGTTGAGAATGGTCTCGGGCGTGTCATGTACCAAACCACCGATGCGTGCGCTCCAGCAAGCGGCATGTCGATAGGCATCCAGCCTGAACCGAGCCATTCGCGATAGTTCGTGGGGTCGGCCACGGCTCTTTTCCTCAGACGCCTGCGATGTCAGAGGACGTTGCAGTGGCACCCAGCGGTCACATTGCATCCCGACATGCTGTGCTACGCGTGGATTTTTTGTCGGCTATCAAGATCGCCCAGCGTAGCGTTGAAACACAATTGCTCGACAGCGGAAAATTCGTTTCGATCCGAACGTTTGTTAGTCCTTGGAAGGCACATCTTTTCTCACTGAGACTCGTCATGTGAAGGCTCACAGGTCGCGAGAGGAGACAGGTCCGCTGTATCTGGTTGAACGTGAACGTGCGGTGGCGGATAACATTGTTGACCACCACGCCAGGATCGCGGTCCGAGGGCGCCCTCCAGCTGACCAACAGTTCCTTGGAGAGATCGGGTTAGCTGAAGAGCAGCTAGTCATGTTTGTTCTCTTGCTCCTGCCGTGCTGCCGCTGTGGGAGGTCGACCCGCGTTGGGTGAGGAACGCCGCTCGCCTCAGGAAGCCTGATCGTCTCCGACAGGACTGGCACCATTGGCATGCAGGCCTCGTTGGTTTGCAATGCGGGACGTGCTTGCTGCTGGGAAAGAAGAAAAGGATGCTCTCCATCCTTATGGATGTGTAGGAGTTCCATCATAAATCTCAGGGATATCACGGGGCATCTCGTCGTCAATGCTTGCTTGTCGGCTCGAATGGCGTCGAGTTCCACCTAGCAAAATCATGAGCCGCATTGCTGGGGTTGTTGACAATGTGGAACTTGGTCCCAGGGTAGAGGAGTGAAATTAGCGAGACCCTGCTTATGGTCTGGTGAACAGGAAGCCATCAACCGCTACTTCCAGGGCAAGCCGCCTAACCGTAAAGTTCGTGCTCTCCTCGGTCGTTGCTGTGTCCTCCCTCGTGCCCCCACGGTTGGGATGCTGACCCCCTCGGAGTCTTTTGCGGTCCCTGACTCTACGGTAGTTCCCAGATGTTTCTCGGCCTTGGGGGCTCCCTCTCACGAGCAGCGGATGGCTGCGCTAATTTACAGAATTCGTAGCAGGGAAGCCTTAACTCAAGGCAAGTAGCTCCAACTCGTTCAATTTTAGCGCCGTGCGCTGTCTTTTCGGGTCCTTCCATTCAATTCCTCATCGAACCTCGGTCCCACCCCCTCCTCCTCCCTCCTCCTCCCCCTCCTCTTCCTCCTCCTCCTGCTGCTGCTAGAGGCATCCTAGATGGGGTCGGAGTAGATGGGGTCGGAGGATCGCGCCGCATCGCCGATACATCGGCGATACATCGTCGATGCATCGGCGATGCATCGGCGATGCACCGGCGATGCATCGTCGACGTTGGCGATGCATCGGCGACGTCGACGTGACGCAGATCGGGCTGCACATCGAGCCGCATCGGCGATGCATCGGCGATGCGGCGCGATCCTCCGAACCCATCTACTCCGACCCCATCTAGGAGGCCTAGAGCTGCTGCTCCTCCTCCTCCTCCTCCTCCTCCTCCTGCTCCTGCTCCTGCTCCTGCTCCTGCTCCTCCTCCTCCTCCTCCTGCTCCTGCTCCTCCTCCTCCTCCTCCTCCTCCTCATTCTTGAGGCACTGAGGGGAAGGGTTCCTCAGGCTTTTCGCCAGGCACGTCCTCCAAGGCGGGCCCCCAGGGCCGTGAAAGAAGGGCCCGTGCCGAAGGGCTGGTCCTGGGGGAGGGCCCCGGGGTCCAGGACCCGTTTCCTTTGGTGCTGGAGTCTTTCATGCCAGGCGGTGCGGAGCGAGGCAGGGGAGATGTGGGTGGTGGTGATGATGAGAGCGACGGCGATAACGGTAGCAGTGCTGATGGCAACGACTACCATGATCATGTGTGGTGGTGAGGGCGCAAGAGATTCTCAACACGACGGCGAGTGCGAGACACACCTGTAAGCATGATGATGCCACGGGGTGGTAATGCTGGTGCGGGTGGTAATGCTTTTGCTGTTACAGAGGGTAATGCTGATTGTGACGGTGGTCATGATAATCTTGATGCTGCTGTTGGTGCTGACCATGATGACGATCTGGGCGCAGGACCCCCCGCAGCGCCACGCACAGAACGAACCTGGGCCTCACGCACACTCCACGGAGTGGTTGGCCAACGCTCCTAGCTTTGCCAGTCGTGCTGGCACCCTCGTGGTCGCCAAGTCCAGCGGAGAGGGGAGATGCATGGGGGGGACGAGCGGAAGGGAAGCGGAAAGCAGGTGAATTTACACAGGCGTTCGTTTCTCTTTTGTGGCCAAGGTAGAACCAGGATCTGCCCCCCATGTGCCCTTCGGGCCTCGGCGGAGTGGTGGGGCGACTCCAGACGGTCCCCGCTTTCCAGCTTTTCCTCACAGGTCGCTCGCTGAATGGCTTGCGAGGTACCTGCGCGGAGGGAAAAGAGGAGAGCGGAAGCGGGGGAGCGGGCATTGGCCGCAGAAGCTGACGGGAGCGCAAACATCGGCGGCCCGAGGCTGCCACTCCGTGCCAGATGGAGAGCCCAGGAACACGCCAGCGCGTGGTGCACGTGACGCGGCTCGGCAGCGACAGCGACGGTGAAGCAAGTCCCGCGCACAGGGCACAGGGTGAGGGGAGAGCGCCCACAGCTCGCTGGCGGCTCGGCGCGGCTCGGCGCGCGGGGCGGGGGCTCGCTGTGATCGCCACAATATGCGCGCGAGCACCAGCTCGGCGTTGGCACGGCCAACGTCCCAGAATCTCCGGCGGGCTGCCGAGGGCAGTGCCTCGTGCGCCGGCGGTGCCTCGCCGAGCAGACTGCGGCGGCGCGGCGTCTGGCGTAACTATCTCTGCCCGCACGGGGCCCTTCGCAGCTGCGCCCGCGGCGGCGGCGAGGTCCCGCTCGGCGCCATCCCACAGCGTGTCAGCGTCGTCGGGCAAGCTGGCCTCCAGCTTGGCCCTCCGCGGCGCCTGCCGCTGCTCCGCGGAGGGGCCACGGGGAGTGCGCAGCGAGGTCCCGCAGCCTCTCCACGTCTGCGGGCAGGCCCGCCTCCAGCCTGGCCGTCAGCGCCCGCCGCTGCTCTGCAGACAGGCCCTCGAGGAACTTCAGCGAGGGCGGTGGCCCCGCGGTGCAGGGCGGCCCGCGAGCGGTAGGAGCCGGGCCACGCGTCGCCTGGGGCCGGTCCGGGACCTTCGCCCACGCGGGGCCCTCCTCGGGCATCTCCGCGGCGCCGGGGGGGTGCCGCCTGGCCCGATCCCGCAGCCTTGCCATGTCGCGGGGCAGGCCCACCTCCAGCGTGGCCATGAGGAGCCGCCGCTGCTCCGCCGACAGTTTCTTGATGAACTTCAGCGGAAGTGGCACAGCTGCGCCCGGCCCAGTCGGGTAGGGAGGCTCGTGCACGCCAAGAGTGGGGCCACGTGTTGTCTGAGGCCAGTTCTGGACCGTCGCCTGCTCGGGGCCCTCCTCGGACGTCTCCGCGACAGTAGAGGGGTCCAACGTGAGGGCCTCCCGCAGCTTGTCCATGTCACGGGGCAAGCCAACCTGCAACTTAGCCATCAACACCTGCCGCTGCTCCGCCGGCAACTTCCCGATCAATTTCAACGGAAGTGACACTGCTGTGCCCGGCCCAATCGGGCAGGGAGGCTCGTGCGCGCTGCAGACTGGCTCGTGCACGTCACGACATTGGATCCTTGTCCGAGCAGGGCCCCGCCCAGACGCCTCAACAGTGGAGAGGTGCTGCTCGGCGCCCGCACGCACCATGTCCAGGTCGCCGGGCAGGCCGGCACCCAACTTGGCCATCAGCGCCTGCCGCTGCTCTGCGGACAGCCCCTCGACGAAGTTCATCGGAGGAGGCACTTCTGGACCCAAGCCGTGGCGCAGAGGCGCGGGCGGCGTCGAAGGCGGCGGCGATGCCGAAAACTGCTCCTGGCCACGCTCGAGCGTGGCCTCCAGCCCGCTCCGCAGGGCCTGCCGTTGCTCCGCAGGCAGCCCCTCAAAGAAGGCAGTGGCGCCCGCTGCTGGCGTCGGGGAACAGATCATGACACAAGCATAGGCACTGCTGGAGGTCCGCGCGGGCTTCTCGCATCGGCGCTGGAGCCGCCCGGCGGCGCCTCTGGCGCCGATCCAAGAAGTCAGCGCGAACCTAGGGGCGTGTGCACGCCGGTCGGAAGAAGTAGGTGAAAACACGAAGTCGGAAGGGGGATGAAGTAGATCGGGTCCTGGGCCTCCCAGAGAATAACGACATTCAGCAAAAGCGCATCGACTCTTGAAGTAGGAAGGCGCTTGAAGTAGATTGGGATCTGGGGATCCAGAAATACCTCCTTTCATCGACCGACGTGCATGTTTGTGCCACTATTTGCTCCTCGATGGCGGGCGCCGCCCCCCGTCCTGCGCCGGTGGCGGGAGCGGCGCGGTGCGGGCGGCCGCCGGCTGCGGCCGCAGCTGCGGCGGCACGGCGGCGGCGCCGTCCGCGCGGAGCCCGCCGCCGCAGGCGCTGCAGAAGAGCGCGGGCCAGGCCGCCCAGGCCCCGCAGCGGCGGCAGAAGCAGCCCGGGCCCGGCAGCTGCGGCTGCGGCGCGGCCCCGGGCGCGGGGGTCGCGCGGGGGCCCGCCGCCTCGGTGGAGCACGGAAAAACCACCCTCATGATGAGCAGCCCGGCGAGCGGAGCCGTGCAGTAACCGGGCCCAACGAATCTGAATGCCCAGGGCCGTTTAGGAAGCGCCAGTGAGCGGGTCGGAGTTGGTTTTCCCCCGCGTTGGCTCAAGGGGCCCGGGGAGACGCAAATGCATCGACACACACATTCCAGGATTTGCAATCTGTGCCCATCTTTCCTGGCTGTCCTGCTCCCCTCCATTACCCATCTTTCTCCTCCCATAGCTTCACGGAGACCAGCACTCGCTCTCTCAGAAAATCAGCGTCTGTCTGCGTCTGCGTCTGTTTTCCCTCCTGGCCTCCGCGCGCACAGGGAGCTCGCTGGCGCCGCGCGCGAGGCTCGCATCCGCCAGCCTCGCCGGCTGGAGCCCCGGGGCGCCCCTGCTGCGATCGCTCTGGCGGCCCGCCTGGGCCTGCAAGGCCTGCAGGGCGAGCTCCGCGGCCACCGGGCGGACGTTCTGCGGGGCGGCGGCGGCGGGCAGCGGGCCGCAGCTCGCGACGGCCCACCACGCGTCGGCCGCATCGGTCGTGCACCTCGCCAGCTCCTGTGCGTTCCTGTCGCTCTCCGCCTCGCCCTGGCTGGTCGAGCAGACGTCGGGCGGAGGCCCCAGGCGAGAGCCTGGGGCGCTCCCTCTGGATGACGGGTGGGTCTTGTTGGCGGGCTTCTTGGCTGGCATTCGCAGGTCTGCCCGTGCGGCGCGCTGCTCTGGAATGGGCCAATCAGCCTCGACGGACGGGGGGGGCGATTTACCGCAACCGGGAGCAGCGGAAACGCATCTCGAGGAAAATGGGCTCCAGACACCACCAGTGCCCCCTCCCTGTAATTTTGTTCCCCCACCCCTCTCTCTCACCCTCGGCCTCCTGCACCGCCTCCACCCCCTCCCACCTTCCCCCTGTCCCCTTCCCCTTCCCCCTCCCCCTCCCACGATATCCTCAGCATGCTTTTGTGCTTGTTTTTGCTGCTGCTGTTGGTATTGCCGCTGTTGCTGCTGCTGCTGGTGTTGGTGGTGTTACTATGGTTGCTGTTGCTGCTGCTGGTGGTGTCCTTTGTATCTTCTCTCTCTCTCTCTCGCCCTTCGTTCTCTCTCTTCCCCGCCCTGCAGGTTGGGGCTCGGGGCTGCTAAACTCGCAGAGTCCAGCTCCCGACCCGCCTCGCACGCCCCGCATCCCGCGGCCGCCGGGCCCCAAGACGTCCCGGTGGTCTCTGGGGGCCCCGCCTCGCGTCTGCGACGAATGGCGAGTGCACGCCGCGGCCGCCAGGCCCAGAGTGTCCTGGCGGTCCCTGGGGATTTCGCTTCGCGTCTTCGACGAATGGCGACAGAACAAACACGAGATCATCACGCAGGGATAGTTGCAGACACACACACACATACAACGCAGGAATAGCAGGCAGGAAGACGCATCAAGAACAGGCATACTCAACACGTCTACGCACCGAGCACGCATAACAGCATAGGGAAGACCACACATACAAACCAAATGTACGAAACGGACATTCCCCAGAGTCCAATGACAACATAAGGAACAAGCATAACTAAGGGACAACCCCACCATGGAGGCGACACGGCGTGCAGGCGTCACGACGACACAACATCCACAGACATTGAGAAGAGGCATCAAGAGCATACACCAACAAGGGACAATACTAATATACATTGGGACATGATTACCACCCGTAGCAGACACAAAAAACAGGCACGCTACCAACAGCAGGCATTCAGAAAAGACACCACACATAGAGACTATAAACATATACGAACAAATAGACTATTTACATGAGTCCAGCACAGACGTGGCGAGCCGATATAGATAAAACGCCTGAAGATCATACATGTGTAACATACAGTGGTAAGCGACACCACGCGTATACATTAAACATAGACGCCAGGAGCATGCACCATGAACACATTTCAATTACACACGCCAAGACAAGCATGATCAACACACACACAGTTCATACACAGACAGCGAACGAATATGCCAAACTCATACATTAAGAAATCAAGCACAGGCACATAATCGACGGCGTACATCAAATATGTACACACGAAGAACATACATCAAAGACAGGCACCAACAACGGACATCAATAATATCCATGCACAATGTACACCAGACACGTATAGCAAAAACGTCGCTCGCTTCTTCGACGAATGGCGACACAACGCAAACGCGGAACCACCGGGCAACAGACAGAACAGACGTGACCGGCAGGAACACCACGCAACAAGAGCACGCATGCCCAACATGTCTGCGCACCATGACAACAGCGTAGAAGGCACACGCATGCACACCAAACGTACGAAACAAACACGCTCCAAAGTCCAATGACTACGTAATGACCATTCAGTTAAAGCAGGCGCAGCAAACAAACAAACCCACCATGGAGGCGTGTCCAGGCGTCACGGCGTCCACAGACACTTCGAAAAAACATCAATACCATATTCAAATAACAGTCAACAGGAACAAACATCGAACACACACACACACACACTCTCAATATATATATATGTGTATTGAGAAAGCCCATTACCCACATCAACGAAGACACGACACCAATAACAATCATCGGGAAAAGACACCACGTCACGGACATACATCCATCACAGACACCAGAAACAAGCATCACTAACCTAGGATAACAACAGGCACCAAGAAACACCACGACTATCATAATCATACATCAACATCACAAGCGCACTAGCGTACGCCAAGAACACATTCAAGACCGCACGTCCATAACAATCACCAGTGACAAACGCCAGTTGCATGCACCAACAACAACGACCAACCAATAACATCTAATAACGGCATACACCAATAGCGGTCACCAAAAGCATACGCCAACCACACAGAAACCATTAATGTATATTAAGACCATACTTAAGTCAACCTGCGCCATCAACACACATCAAGCACGGTACACCAAGCACGTGCGTTAGTAGCGTACATAAAGAAACTACTCCAAAAACATGCAGCAATCTGAATCACCAATGACACGTGCCAGTAGCAGACACCAAGAACGTACGCAAACAAAAAGGGCGCACGCCCACAGCAAGGCCATGCTTCAATACCAGTCAGCAGACATCAGCAACATGCACAAACAACATCCACCACTAACATTCGTCCACAACGCACGTTAGGATCATACATCTAAGTGTAGTGGATCTCCTCAATGGGGGCCGCTCGACGCACACTCACTTTTGTTATATCTCTCTCTCTCCCTCTCTCCCGTTCTTTGCGCCCCCGTCCTGGCAGCGTATCCACACACACATATGCATACCGGTATACACCTATACGACCACCCTTCGGGTGATAAGGAGGTTGTGGGGGTGGCAGAGGGGGGGAACCAACATCTGACTCAATCGATCTCACTATCGATCTCGCTCAAAAAGACACCACGGGACACCACGGGACAATTGTCGATCTCACTATCGATCTCACTATCGATCTCACTCAACGGGACACCACGGGACACTACGGGCTACCACGGGACACCACGGGACACCGCGGGACACTTCTCGATCTCACTATCGGTCTCACAATCGATCTCACTATCGATCTCACTCAACGGGACACCACGGGACACCACGGGACACCTCGGGACACCACATCGATCTCACTATCGATCTCACTCAACGGGACACGACGAAACACGACGGGACACCACGGGACACCTGTCGATCTCACTATCGATCTCACTATCGATCTTATTTTTTGGGACACCACGGGACACCTTGGGGCACCACATCGATCTCACTATCGATCTCAATATCGGTCTCACTATCGATCTCACTATCGATCTTACTCAACGGGACACCACAGGACACCACGGGACACCAGCGGGACACCGGCGGGACACCGCGCGGCACCGGCCGCCGGAAGAAAAACATTTGGTCGGGCCGCGGCCCAGCCACAAGAGGATTTCGGGACACCGGCGGGACACTGGCGGGACACCGCGCGGCACCTGCCGCCGGAGGAGTTACATTTGGTCCGGCCGCGGCCCAGCCACAGGAGGATTTCCTCTCGCCCGCCCACGCAGCTTCGCCTCGCCCGCACGCACGCACGCACGGCACGCACGACACGAACCCGAAACCGAAATCGATTTCCTGGTAGGGGAGGTCTCCGTTTCACGTCGGACTCACAACCTCCGGTATTCCTCTTCCTATATTTTTATAAGCCCGGGCGGGGGGGAAACCCGTCCCCCCCCCCCAAAACCGGACTCCCGGGATCTGGGGCTTTGGGACCTTCCGGACGGGCCTCGAAGCGGCCCCCCGGGCCTCGCAGGGCGTTTTGCCAAGCCTTCCCAGCACACCTAGAGCGATCAGGGGGGTCATCGGAGACGTCCCAAAGACCCCCAAGACAGCACAAGAGCGCTCCAAGAGTGACCGACGTGACCTCAAGATGGCCCAAGAGGCATCCAGGACGGCCCCAAAGAGGCCTCCAAGAGCACTCCCAAGAAGGCCCCAAGAGGCAAACATCATTGATTTTCTGTTGGTTTTTGGTGAATCTTGGGGTTCTCCTCCTTTCGGCTCCCTGACGCTCCAAGACGGCGGTATTCTGAGCGTCCGAAGCCGCCTGGGAGGCTCCAAAATCGCCCCACAACAATCCGAAAAGGCTTCCAGGCAGTCCAAGAGAGCCCCAAAACGGCACAACACGGGTCCAAGATGGCCCTCAGAGAGCCCCATGGCGGCCCAAGATGACCCCAAGACACCCTCCGAAGCATTCCAAATCGTGACCCGGTCGTTCAGGGAGACCGCGGTTGGAGGCAGGGTGGCCCGAGGAAGCCCCC